GCCGGCACCTGCGGACAAAGCCAAACTCTGCCCACGGTGCTGCAGCATCAGCCCTGGCCCCACTGCAGCCCCCCCGGCTGTTCCCGGTGCCAGGGCACTGCCTCGTTATCCCCCTTGTGCCTGTTCCCAGCCAGGGCTCTGCTCATGGTCCCCCCGTCCGTGTCCCTCAGGGTAGCTCAGATTCAGCCAGAGACAGGGGGTAAAGGCCAGGGCTTTGCCCCAGCAGCCATCCCACCTGCCAGGCAGCAGGTTCCAGCAACAGCCCCTGCTTGCTCTCCAGCCTATCACATTTGCCAGCATGAGATTAGAGCTGCTGAACTAAATCCCAGCCCTTGCTTCAAAATGCTGGTTTAACTAATCCCATTTGCAGCCTGCCTGGGATGGGACCCCAGGGTGGGAAGGGGAGATGCTTGGTCAGGGCAAGACACGGCTGCTCTATTCCCATGGGCTGCACCAGCCAGCCCAGATGAGCCTGAAGCCCAGCAGTCCAAGCCACATCCGTGGGAGAGGAAAATGCCCCGAAGCCCCATGAGACTCCCCCCCAGGACCACATTTCCAAAGCCAGGGGCTGTTCCCAGGCAGCACTGGAGGCAAGAGAAGTGCTGCCACCACGGAGGAATCAGCTCCCCTGCCTGCACGTCCCCCCCTGGCTCCCTCTCAGCTGCCAGCAGTGCTGAAGGCAAATCCCTCTTGGATTAAAAACAAACCAGCCATAATCCCCCCCGGCCACCAGGCTGCCCTCATCCCCGTGCAGGTGGCTGTGTCACCTGGGCACCTCCTGCTGCTCTCCCCAGCACACCAGGACTGTCCCCCAGGCTCTGCCGATGCCCCATCGGTGGGACCAGCCCTGCTGAGCACACCTGAAAGCCCTGAGCTCCCCTGAAAGCTGAAGTTAAGCACCAGCCTGCAGCTGAGATGAGTTTGGAAGTGCTCAGCTGGGTGCACCTGCTCCCCTGGAGCAGGGCAGGGGACTGGGACTCTCCACCCCCTCATGCCTGGATATTTCAGGGGCAAGAAGCAGCCCAGGGACAAATCCCCTTCAGGCACAGAACCACAGCCCCTGCAGAGAGCAAACCCACTGATGGGCTGTCCAGCTTCAGCTGGCATCAAGGTGACAAAGGCCTTGAAGCCACAGAAAAGGGGGGGCTGGGGGAGCCCCGGGCTCATCCCCCTCCACCCTGCAGCACCCTATTTAACCCCCACTGCCCAGATGTGCCAGCCAGCTGTGCAACCCGTTTCAGATTAACGT